AATAAGAAATCCTTTCAATGGGTGAAATGGGTTATGTCTACCTTTATATTAATAAGAAATCCTTTCAATGGTTGGAATGGGTTATGCCTACCTTTATATCAATAAGAATCCTTCCAATGTGTGGAATAGGTTATGTCTACCTTTATATCAACAAGAAATCATTTCAATGGTTGGAATGGGTTATGCCTACCTTTATATCAATAAGAAATCCTTCCAATGGGTGGAATGGGTTATGCCTACCTTTATATCAATAAGAAATCCTTCCAATGGGCGGAATGGGTTGTGGACAGTGAGGTTAAAGTTCAAATGTTGCATAATCAACAATTCATGATTGAGAATTAACTCTGTTGCTTTCTCTCTGTTATTTGGCAGGTTTCCCACGAACTGCATAATAGAGACGTTGAACTCTTCTACTTTACATGCTAAATATATACAGGTATACCTGAAAAACACAGGAATTATCAGAATTATAGTTTTTTTGTTTTTTTGTAATATTGTGTGCAAGGTAACAGTTCCAGACATTTATTGTCTCTGTTGTCTGTCCTAATTTTCAAGTGCCAGTGATGAAATATACTGTGAAATACTTTATTTTAGCTGCAATTAATTTCTGCTGAAATAGCTTTTTTGGTGTTTTGTATGGCATTTATTTTCACTAATTTTTGATGATTTGAATGTAAAATATAGGGAAAAAAGTATATTCGCTGGATATTATTTTAAGTGAAGCATCCCTTCAACAAAAATTGATTCCAAATCGAAAATAAAGTATTCTACAGTAGTGCATTTTGTGACAGAAAACATATTCCAGGTTAAAACTACATGTACATGTACATGACAGTGCTGTGTGATCATTTTCCTATCATATGGGAATTACAGAAATAAGTAAGGGGGTGCATGGCCATGGCATGAGGGCGCTGCGCCCCTGTTCCCTTGTTTAAAAGAATCCCTGGTGATCACATTAATCAGTGGAAGGAATTCTGCATATGATACAAAGTGGGAATGTAACTTTATTGCTACCGGTTAGTAACATATCTCTGCTATTAATTTGTAATGCATGTATTGTATGTGTAAATGAGGTAGCTACATGTAGATCATAGCTGTGGTAAAACATACAATACTTCTAATGGCACATTTGTATGTTTGTTGCTTGTTGATTTTTTGGGAGGGGTGTTAATTGAACTTCACAAAGTTTTTTTTATTAAAAGAATGTTATTCTATTATTTTTTTTTCTGGACATTGAATGTCACTGTTGTCTCTCCTGACTTTTTTTGTATGTGCAAGTTGCAAGTGCTGACATATAGTGCATTTTTGCCACAGAAGCCATATTCATGTTTTGGGACTATACACATGACAGCGCTATGCAGCCATCTCTCTATCAAATGGCTATTTAATGCGCTATCCTGGGGTCCAACCAACCAAGGTTCCCCCAAAGTAACATTAGTTAGTGAATGAATTTATTAATTAAAAAATAATAATTTTGTTATAGAAACAAAATAAGAAAACCTGAAAAATGTTCACATGTGAAATTTATCGATCTTTTTAAACAATGTCTGATGCTAGTTTGTTCCAAGCTCCAATTTATATGCTAATTGGTATGCAAATATTATGCTAATTAGATGCAAAATGTCTACTGTGTTTAATTGATTAGTTGTTTGTCAACTTGAATATAGTATTTGCTCCATTAGTAATGTATGCGCTTACGTAGGTTTTTCTATGATTTAGTTTACAGCAAACGCATTTTTTGGTTTTATAAGCATTTATATTTGAGATGTGCTCAAGAGGCATGTACGTACACTGGTCATGACTACAAATATATTTTATGGATTACTTGTAAATATTTGTACTACAGGTAAACATTTTCCCCAAGCATGTTTCAAATTTGTAATATTGGACCAAGACCGATTTTGTGGGAGCGCCCTCTACAGGACTGATTTTGTAGGAATGTCCTTTACAAGACAGATTTTGTAGAAGTATATTCTCTACAGGACTGATTTTGAAGGAGTGCCCTCTACAGGACTGATTTTGAAGGAGTGCCCTCTACAGGACTGATTTTGAAGGAGTGCCCTCTACAAGACTGATTTTGAAGGAGTGCCCTCTACAAGACTGATTTTGAAGGAGTGCCCTCTACAATACAGATTTTGAAGGAGTGCCCTCTACAGACTGATTTTATAGGAGTGCCCTCTACAGGACAGATTTTGTAGGAGTGCCCTCTACAAGACAGATTTTGTAGGAGTGCCCTCTACAGGACTGATTTTATAGGAGTGCCCTCTACAGGACAGATTTTGTAGGAGTGCCCACTACAGGACTGATTTTATAGGAGTGCCCTCTACAAGACAGATTTTGAAGGAGTATATTCTCTACAGGACAGATTTTGTAGGAGTGCCCTCTACAGGACTGATTTTATAGGAGTGCCCTCTACAGGACAGATTTTGTAGGAGTGCCCTCTACAAGCCAGATTTTGTAGGAGTGCCCTCTACAGGACTGATTTTATAGGAGTGCCCTCTACAGGACTGATTTTGAAGTAGTACCCTCTACAGGACTGATTTTATAGGAGTACCCACTACAGGACTGATTTTGTAGGAGTGCCCTCTACAGGACTGATTTTGTAGGAGTGCCCTCTACAGGACTGATTTTATAGGAGTGCCCTCTACAGGACAGATTTTGTAGGAGTGCCCTCTACAAGCCAGATTTTGTAGGAGTGCCCTCTACAGGACTGATTTTATAGGAGTGCCCTCTACAGGACTGATTTTGAAGTAGTACCCTCTACAGGACTGGTTTTATAGGAGTACCCACTACAGGACTGATTTTGTAGGAGTGCCCTCTACAGGACTGATTTTGAAGTAGTACCCTCTACAGGACTGATTTTATAGGAGTACCCACTACAGGACTGATTTTGTAGGAGTGCCCTCTACAGGACTGATTTTGAAGGAGTACCCACTACAGGACTGATTTTGTAGGAGTATACCCACTAGAGGACTGATTTTATAGGAGTACCCACTACAGGACTGATTTTATAGGAGTGCCCTCTACAAGACAGATTTTGTAGGAGTGCCCTCTACAGGACTGATTTTGTAGGAGTGCCCTCTACAGGACTGATTTTGAAGGAGTATACCCACTACAGGACTGATTTTGTAGGAGTGCCCTCTACAGGACTGATTTTGTAGGAGTACCCACTACAGGACTGATTTTGTAGGAGTACCCACTACAGGACTGATTTTATAGGAGTGCCCTCTACAGGACTGATTTTGTAGGAGTGCCCTCTACAGGACTGATTTTGTAGGAGTGCCCTCTACAGGACTGATTTTGAAGTAGTACCCTCTACAGGACTGATTTCATAGGAATCCTGAGTCAAAATGAAATTAAATCTAAATCAAGTTGAGTTAGCTTCTTGACTACCGCAATGTCGCCTATGGGAAAACAGTCAAAAGATCTGGTATTGAGAAGCATGCTCGGAAATTGTTACTATTAAATACATGCATATATGAGGTCAGTTCATAAAACAACTTATGGCAACATTGTCACAGAAGATTGCAAACTAGTGCTGATCAGTTAGTGAAAGTTTATTAATCTTTTCGCCACCAGTTCCCTCTTTTCATCACAAATTTAAAAAATAGTCCTGTTTATAGTCTGCACTTTCCTTCAGAAGATTGGGACAAAACTAGCCAAATCTGTTGAGTAAAAACCAAAAATTGACTCAAATTTTGTCTGTTTGCTCCAAAATTAGGATCCATTTCCAGAAATATTGAAGAATATAAGTGCAGGAAAATTTGGGCGGGAAATTCTGGTAGTAAAAAAATTAATCAGACATTCACATACTGGTATGTGAGTGTACTGTGAAATCTGTATTAGAAACCGTGGTGACTATTTAAATGGTACAATGCAACAGAGGGGATGCGGCTTCTATTAGAGCATCTACACATATGAGAAATGGTGATTTTTGGCTTCCAATTGTACTGCAAGAATGGGTGCAACTTCTATTAAATGTGCGACTTCTATTAGATGTGCAACTTCTATTAGATGTGCGACTTCTAAAACAGATTTTACAGTAATCAAGGAAATGACGTTGTAGTGCAGCGGACCAATACACAAACAAATTTCCATGATAAGTTTATAATTTCACTTACATAATCCATTTGGGATGATAATCCATTGCAGTATTGTGGATATAGAACCGTTTGAAATATGCGCAGGATGTGCCCTGTAAGAGAATATATGAAATAGTTTTATTTAATTATTCACTGGTTTTTAAATTATCGCTGATAAGTAAAATTCGCTAAATTAAATCTACATAACAAATAGAATAACAATAGAACTTATTGTTTCCTTGCCAAATTTGTGAAATTAAAACCCAGTGAAATATGGGTTTTTAAAAGTGTCGAAAAATGCTATTTTTGTTTATGGAATTGTTCTAAAAATAGCTATTTTTGAAAAAAATTAGGACAAGTTTCCCAATATATGGCACTGTAACACACAAAATAATGCTATTTCATTGTGCCATGGGACAATAGCTTAATGATTTTACATAATAAACTAATGAACATTGTCATTGTCATGCGATTTATGACCAAATTTCTCAAAAAATTTCGAGTAGGCTTCTACCTTAATACGTGGAACTCCACTGGGAATGGTAAAACATGACTCATTCAATTACAAAATTCTTTGTAATGTTTCTCTTTAAATAAATATAATAAAACATTGCGTCTGGAACAACATTTTGAAAAAATTAAATAAGAGCCCAATCATTTTAAAATAAAATAATTTCAGTAATATGCCCAATGCCAATACATTGGACTCTATGGGGGAAAAGTAAAACATTAAACAACAAAAAAGTCTGCAATTTTTTTAAAACTTAAGATCATAAAACAATATGTGTCTGGAACGACATTTTGAAAAAATAAATAAAAAAGGGATACTACCGGATTCTGCCATAAATTCGTCCATCCGAAAAATCACCCTAGGCGGTTTCACGGCTGGTGGGCCCTTATTTGGGGTTCAAACTTTCAAAAAATGATTATCAAATATTTTTAGGGGGGCTTATATTTTCATGGAACAATCCACCTACGCCGATTTTCAACGCCGGCAGTTGGACCACCCAAAACAAAAGAAACAATCGCAGAAGCTAATCTAAACTTTTATACATTTTGTTCTTGCTGGATTAAAAAGTAGCAAAAAAATCACATTAACGAACCACGTGCGCCAAATACAATTATTTTGTTTCATTTTATTAGTAACGAAAGTATATTCTAAAAGAAGTTTCAAATAAAAACTAACCCAACTGCATTGCTTAGTAGCAAATGATCGCGGTATCGCAATCCAGTCATATGGCTTTTCACGATTGTTGATTATTACCTACTCATGAATATAATAATAACGTGCAAAAAATAAATTTGTTGAATTGTTATAAAATGCAAAAAAATTTCAACTTATTTCATCATAAGCGAATTACTCCGATCGCATTTTCAACGCTCAATGCTGTAGAAATTAATATCCGCCATGTTTTGTCAAATCGATAATTAACCAATGAAAACGATGGATGATGCAAACGTGTTCAAATTACCATAGCTCATTTAAATATGTTAATGTTATTGAATGCATCGCGGAAGAGATTTGCCAATGTTGTAGATGGGAAAGTGGCATGATTTGTTTTTAAATAAAAAAAAATAGTAGTTTTCAAAAGATAAACTGAGCATTTGAAGAATAATTTAACATTGTTTACAGCAATAATAGCTCATTATCGAAACGAAGCTTACTCATTCACACTAGTCGCAATGAATATCAATACTCTTGAATAGGCGTCAGTGACTACAGCGAAACTTTTAGGCATCAGAAAAGATTAAAATAACACCTTAAAAAAACTGCCGAAAAATCGCCCTGGGTGGTTTCTTGGTCCCATTTTATTTTTTTTAAAACCTGAACTGTCGTTTAAAGCCCTGGGCGAATTTACAGCAGAATCAGGTATTTCAATAATATGACAATTTTAAGTAATTTGCCCAAGGCTTCATAGGTGATATAACATGTTCTTGAGAAAAAAATTCTGCGTGTCCTTGTTGAACCTACCCAGATTGGAAAAACTATATTGATTAATATGAGATTATTACGAGAATACCTCAAAGTATGCACAAAGAAAGTACAGCTGGAGTATCGACTGACGCGCAGCGGAGGTCGATGTGCAGCGTACTGTCTGAGTGCATACTTTGAGGTATTCTCGTAATAACTTTATTATTATACATCTTTTCCTTCTAAGGATACGACATGGGAATGCCGAAATCCAAAAAGTTTAGAATAGAATCAGTGAACTTCTTTGTGTGGAGTTCGGTCAAACCCTGATGGCAGCCATGTTTGTTTTTATCATTAGAGGACGCTTTCGTGCGTAATCATCCCATATTTTGAATTTTCATTTCCTTATACGGTAGGATGAAAATACCCCGTAAAATACTTATGGCGTTACGGTGACAGATGTATAATAATATGTATATTACACGTACCAGTACTGAAGGCGGCATGGGCGGGTCAAACTTCCTACAAAAGTCTCTCACTAGGTGTTCATAATGTCGACATAGTAGGCGTTCCTCATCATATGTCAAAAAATATAACGGCCTATCTTCTACCTATGAGAACAAACAAAGAAAAAAAAAAGTCATTTCTATTTTTTTAATATTTTTTTTTGTTTATCAATGATGATTTTTAACCTTTTTACCACCAGACTTTTCGCCCAAATTATTCTGCACTTTTTTCTTATATTTTTCAATATTTTTGGAAATGAACCATAATTATTTTTGAGTCAACACAAATAATTGGTTTCAATTTTCTGTTTGTACTCAAAAAATTTGCTATTTTTGTCCCAGTATGCTGAAGGAAACTCCAGACAGCATACTTATTTGTGAATTTGTGATGAAAAAGAGAGAACTGATGGTGAAAGGGTTAAACTTATATTTTGACTCTGTTTTCGGCAAAATCAGTCAGTCCTGTTAGAGGTTGCACTGTGTTTCGAAAAAAAAGAGCATAACAATCACCATTTTCCATGTTTGGAAATTATTTCCTCACCTGCATACTATCTCCATGTTTATCGGCGTACATCGTCACATTTTCTCGGCGGAGTTTGATTATTTCTTCTTCATTTCTAAACATCCAGTGTTTCCGTTGAGAACTTGTATGAAACATTTTACGTCACCATAAATTTACTTCAGCTGAAAAAATATATAAACCCATACTGTAGAATACTTAGCTGGAATTAATTTTCGCTGCAAACAGAACCGAAAACTTATTAAGCGTTTTTGTATAGAGTTTATTTTCACTGATTTTTGACAAGTTGATTGTTAAGCATAGGAAAAATCTATAATCGCTGGATTTTATTTTCACTGAATCATCCCTTCAGCGAAAATAGCGAAAATTAATTCCAAGCGAGAATAAAGTATTCTCCAGTATATGAAATTACTGCCAACTCGTGTTACTGAGATGGATAACTCCAGTCAGGCAGGTAAAAATTAAATCTGTGTCTTGTGCACAATCCTAAAGAATTTCAAAAACTGGTATATATATAATATTTGCTCTACTAAAAGCACATGTCTATCACATTTATTTTTAACTTCTCTGGACCATAAACACATTTTTTTTAAACCTGACGTATTTAATAACATCAAAGCTGACAATAAAGCAACAAAAATATAAGTAAATTTGGTTACAATTAATTATTTTCCTCCAATTTGCAGCATAAATTGTTATCATCTATTTTAAGACCGATCGCCATGCATACTATAAATAACCATAGAAAAATTTAAATGTTAATTCCATAAACAACTGTGTGGTGACCAGTATAAGTATTAAAATAAAAAAAAAAAAAAAAAAAAAAAAAAAAAAAAGCTGGTTCTCATTTTCTCATTGGGAAGATACAGGAGGAATGTCTTTTTTCCCACTTGGTGTTCTTTCTATACACACAACCAAGATTTAAAGGAAACATCAATCCAGTCATATTGTGAAACATTATATTTTGCAATGTCCAATTTTTAAAATAAAAAGGGACAACTTAATGCGTGAAATAAAAGAAATGTTATTGAAGATGCAAGAAACTTCCAGCAACTGAATAACGAAGAGTTATTATGCTTCCTTCTGGGAGATACCACTCAAAGTTATAACAAAGAAATATGTTACACCATAGACAAACTTATGAGAGAATTTTTAGTTGATGCCATGGATGTTAGAACAACATTTTTACACTAATAAGTAGATTGTAATGTTATTTTTATTGGACTAATATTAATTTTGTTATATGATATTTTTCTTGATCTATAACAGTATTTCTTGTACTTATTTTAAGCAATGTATCTTTAATTTTGCAGCTCCTGTAAAAGTGAGCCCCTGCTTTAAAAGGGTAGCAACAAATAAATAAATAAATAACATAATGACTTCAAATAAAAAAGCTCCACAAATGTAGGAGAAAGCAATTTTCATTCTCTAGACATTCAACTTTTCATCATTATTACTGTGGAATACTTTATTTTTGCTAGAATTTATTTTCGCTGAAAAGGCTTTTTGGGCGTTTTGCTTGGAATTTATTTTCACTGATTTTTGATGAGATTAATGTAAAATATAAGAAAAAATGTATATTCACTGGATTTTATTTTCACGGAATCATCCCTTCAGCGAAAATAGCGAAAATAAATTCCAAGCGAAAATAAAGTATTCTACAGCATGTAGTTAGCCATCTTGATTTTCAAGCAAAGGATTATGGGTAAAGTACGACATCATAGAATCTGTTGTCAGAAATTGACAAAGCAAAGACTGCAGCTTAACCATACTGTTTTATAATTTTGTTTGTTAATTTTCAACCAAATAAATTCAATTTTTCATTTCCTACATGTCTGGATCAAACAATTTTGAAAATATAATAAAATATTTTGCGAAAGAAGAGAATAATTTGCTCTCCCTGTCATTCTCCTATTGTAAAACTTACAGTAAACGATAATATTGTTTTGCTCTTACATTTCGGGATTTGACTATTTATAGATATTTTAGCCTGTGAAATATTCACTAGAAAATGATTTTTTTCTGAAATGTTTCTCATAAGTACCAGTAGTTACAGTAGATCTTTAGGATAAGTTGGGGGGGTGGAGATAAAAACACATATGTGTGCTAAAGCAAGTAAACTACATTGTCTGTTTGCAAAAACACAAAAATATGTTAACCTCCTGCTTCCTCTTTTCATCACAAATAATCCTGTTTATAGTCTGCACTTTCCTTCAGAAGATTAGGACAAAAATAGCAACATTTTTTGAGTAAACACTGAAAATTTACTCAAATTTTGTCTGTTGAACAGAAAGTCTATTCTGGGCTAGTACTATTGTCAATTTTTGGAGAGTAGAGGGCCATTTATACAGGGGACGCTCCAGTGAGAAATTGTCCAATTAGCATATCAAAATCCTTCATTGCAACAAAACATATTCTATATTCACTAAAAACAACATTCACTCACAATGAACTCGAAACAAAAGAAATAGTCCAATCTAAACAGCCTGCGTCCTTGAAAATCAAGTCTTATCGTCCTTGCGTTTCCAACGAAAATACGTCAATGCCAAAAATGAATGATTTTCGCCAAATCTTCTATGATTTTTTTGATGATATCATTAATTCAGTCCAGCGGTTAGATAGTTCATTAATTAGAGATGCTCAGGGAAACAAAATTGAAGATGTAAATCACTCCGACGATGAAAAAACAACGATAATAGCCAAGGGGGTGAGGGACTGAATTTCAAAAACAAATATATATAGGGTATATAACAATTAACCATGCCACCCCAGAACACCACATGCCTTGATAATAACAGGTGACACATACAATGTCATAATGAAAACCAAGCTGTGGGTCCATACTTCTTTTCATGTCAGTCTTTAGTGTTTGTAGTGCTATTTTAGCCATTTCTGATGTATTTTTTGTCATTAAAATTCTTATTTTCAGATAAAATAATAGTTATCAACACAGAAGTGCTATGGTTCCTCCCATAGACTTGTATAACACAAGCCAAAAGGCATCGCAAATAAAAATGTAATGAGAGTAAATGTATCAGAAATCACTAAAATACCATCACAAATACAAATACCAACACAAGAAGAGCTATGACCCACAGCTCATGAAAGCCATGTGAAATCGCCACAAAAAAAAATATATGACATTTCTTTTTACAAATTTTAAATAATTTTGATCATGACATACTGTAGCCAATAGAATATTTTTCCATTTCGTCCAAAATTATAGAAAATTACCCAAATGCTCATACCCTAATATTGACAGCTGACGTATGTCGTGACAGCCATGTGCCATCCTGCATATACTATTTCATTCATTACACACAGATGAGTTGTCACGGTATATTTAGCATCTAATATTCTTCATGCAGTGACATGCAAACTAATAAAATGCATGAATTTCTTTCTACTTGGGGATTGTCATCAATTTTAATTCTTTGAGCGCCATCATTTTTCTCTCTTTCTCTTTTGGTACGTCACTTTGTTGATTGGACGTACTTCTCTATAATTTTTCGGATAATTTTAAACAAAATGGGCAAATTTTTCGATTGGCTATATGTTTTGATCAAAATTTAGGGGAACAAATTGTAAAAAACGTAATAAATTCTATTTTATGACAAAAGTTGACTTTGACATTACACTGACAGTCACAAATATGCTAAGCAGCAAATGTTGATATTTTTAACAAAGATAAATTTACACATTTTTTCTTTTTGTATTTTTATCGTTATATTTGTTGTATTTTTCAAAACTGTCATTATCAGATATTATAATTTTACGCAGCTGAGTTTTTTTAATTCTTTTTTTATTTATTTATTCATTTGGAAATGAAATGCAATTTAAAAAAGGAAGAATAATGAACCTGAACTGGAAACAATAAAATAATTGTTTTGATTAATCTGTCATCACTTTTTCATTCCAACACTTTATTGAAATATTTTGCACCTTTTTATGTATTTGTTTTCATGGTTACTGTAAAATACTTCATTTTTGCTTGGAATTAATATTTGCTATTTTTGCTAAAGGTACAATTCAGTGAAAATAAAATCCAGTGAATATACCTTTTTTATTCAACTCGTCAAAAGTCAGTGAAAATAAATTCAATACAAAACACCAAAAAAGTCTTTTCAACGAAAATTAATTCCCGCTAAAATAAAGTATTTTACAGTATTGGAAATTTTGTTGGTGAGTACCCAGTACAGATAAAATAAAGACAGCTGATATTTTAAAGTTAATTTATTTTAACTGATTTTCAAGAGTTGTATGTATAGAAAAAAAATGTGTTTTACAGTAAAGACACCCCCCCCCCCCGACATATGACGATGTGGCTGTCATTGTGCAACGATTACCAAACAGTCTGTACCCTGAATACTGCTTTCGACTTCACAGATTTAAACTGATGGATAAGAAGAATTTCATAAATGATAAAAACGCACACAAATTAGGAACTCTGAGTTGGTGTTGAGTGTGACAATGTTTTGAAATAGAACGTAAGTGACAACTCACCATTTGCCGGAACGCGTGAACAACACAAGTTCGACTTGGTCGAGGTCATCGAGCATGCGCATTACGAGCATTGTGGTGACTGATGGGAAAAGTCCAGCGTTATGTGTGCGTAGTTGTGCTGGTCCTGCATTTTATCGCAACAAAAAGCGAAACTACTGCAATTTTTCAAAAGCATTCAACTTTTTGGTCGGACAGGCGTAGTGTGGGTGTTATCTATTCTGCATTTAGCGCTCAAGATACTATCGACAGGCTAGATAATCTACATCAAGTTAATTTTCGTTTCTACGAATTAAACTCGTCGCGCCCCACGTTTTACTCTACGCAAACAAGATGGCCGAATCCGCCAGCCCAGAAAAGCGACGAGAACGGGAACGTAGCTACAGTAGCGATTCATCGGACGACTATGTCTCGAAGGCCAGCAAAAGAAACGCAGTGATTGTAGAACACTTCAATGAACTATTTCTGGATCGATTCACCGAGACTGATAAGCAATACCAAGAATATGTTAAAAGAGGATCGGAGGCTCCTCCCATTCTTCAAGAATACGAGAAACCACGCCGTCTTTACTACACCCCGTTCAGCCGAAATTTCAGGTTTGTATACGAAAGATTTCTGTGATTTAACATTTTAAACTTTCTATTCGGATGCAAAAGCGACCGCCTTTGTTTTTACACATCGAGATCCAGCGATAGAATTTTATGGAATTTTATATATTTTTTTTTTTGTTGAATTTGGGGTGTACTTTTTTCGCTTTCGCATTTTTTTTTCATTTTAACATTGTCGAATTTTGCCTATTTTTTTACCTTCCATTCCTGTAATAATTGCAGGTACATTTTCCATGGATTGTGATTTGGTGGCAAATAATGATTAACAACTGAGGTCTGGTCAACAATTTTTGGTCTGTTCATATTTTGTTAAAATATTGGAAAAAAAAGTATTATGCTTGATGAAACAAAATATAGAAATGATAACTCCGCTGTTACTAGATTTTGTTGAATAGCAAAACAGCTTTGATCATTTTTATGTTAGATTTGTATCACCTTGTGCAAAACATAATTTTAGTCGTGTTTCATTTCGCTAAATCCTCAGAATCACTTTTCACAAAATAAAACCCACATAATTTTTTCTCATTTTTTTGAAAATTTTGATCAAGAGCTATACCCAGTGGAAAATTGTATCCTTTTGGTTCCAAATTAGTAAGGATAAATATAGAAAAAGTAACATTTTTGCAAAAAAACTAACATGTACAGTTGTTTTTCAAACACAACAAAAAGTTGCCAGATCACAATCTTCCATTTACCTGCCGCACCTGACTACCTCAATCATACTACACATCGCAATACAACTGTACGTTTGCAATGTATGTATGCACACATATATGAATGTGGTTCAGATGTTCATAAAAATAAACAGCCCTAACAATATTGGTGAAAATATGGGCAAAAATTTAATTTAACTACTGCACATACACAATGTACATGCTGCACCAAAAATAAATATATGTATTTAAATTGGAGATAAATTTTTCCTGTGTCTTTAACAGGCTTTCTCTATTTTGTCCCTTTGCGAATTCCATTAAATCCTAAAATTACAAATTTTCTAGCGGTGAAAATTAAACAGCTTACAGTATTCAAAGCATTTTTAATTTGTGAGTTTCTAATTTATGCAAGCAGTACAGTCCAAGCTTAACTTAACATTTAGTTATTTTTAAACTGGCTTGAAGCCAGCTTACATAGCGTTAAAAA